CGGGGCGGCTGTGGAGCCCCATCCAGGACATCTGGGTGCCCCCCCTGCCACAGCAGTGCTGCAAGCTGCTGTGGCCTGCAATTCCCTGCTCATCATTGGGAAGCTCAATATTGGTTTTGTATACTCTTTCTTTTATTTCTACTATTAGTAGTATTAGTAATATTTTACTCTTTTTCATTGATATTGTTTTATTAAAGTAGTTTTAATTTTCCAATCCATAAGTCTCTCTCCCTTTTCTCTTTTCCTTCCCCTTCTGGGAAAGAAGGGGTTAATAGAGAGCCTCTGCCGTCTGCTTTAAGTGCTGGCCCAGCCTTAAACGGTGACGGCGGCACAATCAGACACTCGCACAGTCAGGTGCCCCACTAGTACTTTCCTCCTTACATCACAATTTTTCAACAGCCGCAGTAGTTGAAAAGCAGAATGAGTCTTGAAAATTTTCTCTCATTTGAGGATAATTTTAATGCAAGAGCTTTTGATTTTCCAATTAGTAATTAAAGAGGTTTGGGTTTTGTTTTTCAAGGAAGACAGTTTTTCAAAGGATTTTTTTTTTTCTGTATTCTTTCCGTCTTCCAAGTAATCCTGTTATTTTTTTGAAGGTTTTAAAAAGTATATGTCATGTGACACTTAACTTGATATGCTTCATACTTCTTACTATCAAAGATAACAAGAGAAGACATATTTCAGCAAGGATTCAGTAGCTTGCCATTTCCTGTTGTGTATCATTTCTGTTGTTGATAAAGTGCTAAGGAAAAAATGATTTTATTTTGTCTTTCATGCATTTAATGATTACAACTATGCTTTTTTCCTTCTAAATAGATATTTCACTCCTTGAATTTTTATAAAAATACACAGAATATATAAAAATTAGTATTACTAAAGAAATTAATACTGCTTTTTCAGAGGGCAGTGTATTTCTAAAACATTTAGAAATACAGAAACTGCATTAGTTACATTACAGAATGCAGAGGCAAATAGCTATAAAGATAATTCAGAAAGTGGAAGTTGCCCAGGATTTTTAAAAATGGTGTGTGTGTGTATATTTGTCTCTTGTGTGGAATGGCATGTAGAATCAGATTGTTCTTTATGGTTTATCAGTTCTGTATTTTGTAAACTGGAATATTGGCGTAGCTCTTTGGGAATGCAGTACTGGATATGACAAAATGCACAATAAACATGGAAGCCAAGCAGGCAGGCACCTTAAGAAAGTGCATAATTTACTTCCTTGTTTTTCAACAGAACCGAGTGTGTTCCTACTAGCCCTCTTTTTTTTTTTACCCTGTTCTTAAAAACACTGATGGGTAATCCTGTGGACGACCTCAGAACTAAAACACTTCAACTGCTTGAATA